GAGACGATCGGCCACATGGCATACGGAGTACATGATCGAGCCATAATGGTTGGTGAAGCCGAATCAGTTTGACAGGCAATTGGGTTACTGCTAAAATCACTCGCCGCACATTAGCACTGCTATTCGAATTCCTCAAGGTACATATGTCATGCTCCGGGGGCGAGATGGACCAAGTGGTTAGAGCGCGAATTTGCTGACCGGAAGGTCCGTGTTTCGAACCCGACCTCTGACATCCGACTTCCCCTGTCTAGGCTTGGGCAACCTGGCAGTATCCCAGCCCTCGTCCCTCCTTCATGTGTGGCATGGCAGCTAGGCACCGAAAGGGTGCTACAGCTGAACGATTATTTATTATTATTATTATTATTATTATTATTATTATTATTATTATATGTCATGCTCCGAAGCGATCGAAGACAAACAGCCTTCTATTGTCTTCGGCGCACAATGACTAGGCTTCACAACCGTGCAACAGCACTGAGCACACCGGCACACCAAGTCGATTCCAGCCTGGGAATGCGGCTAATTTGAGGGAAGTCAGAAAGGGTATCAGAGATCCTAGCTTTCACACGGTGAGCAATAATGTCAACCGGCGTAAAGCAGCTACCAAAATAGCTGATTCTGCGGGCATAGCCAGGTTTGACACGTTTCATCTTTAATAGCACTTCCCACTTTGAAGGTTCGAAGCCTTGAGCAAATAAAAAGGTAAAACTATTCGGATCGTTTTGTTTGTTTCACATCCGGCTGCAAGTGCAACCATCTGCACTCTCTAGGTCATTTCCAGGAGGAGGTTCTATGCCGGAGACGGATGTCATGATGGGCGCTTCCTCAACAGTTGACGTGACTGCAAATTTGGAAAAGAAAGTCTTATTATTTGCTTTTTACTGTTTTTACTGTTTACCTTTTTTTACTATCGTTCTACTACTTTTCACTATTTTACAATTTACTTTGATGATGGAGGAATGGTAACAATCGTAGCCTTCCACATGCCTAGTGACATTGAAGTATAAGGATTGGAGAAATTTGATGAAAATATCCAAAACCTCTGAAGAAAAAATTGATAAAAAGTAGCACCACAGCCTGAGCCAAACACCGTTTTATACCTAAAAGTTTTAGCGGCATTCGAGAAACACTTTGGTCCTTCATACTGCTATCGCAGCGGGTAACACGAATGTACCCTCAGAGCAGCCCTTATTACGATTACTGACAGAACAGGGTTGACTGTCGTTTGACTTGCCGTTATTCTTTGGGCATCGTGACGCCCAAATTATGGCGAGTGGGACTCATTGGCAATAGAAATTTTAGGCCAAGTCTAGATAGGAGCTATAAGTTGGGAGCCATGGGTTTTCAGGTCATTCAGGGTTAAGGTCTATTTAAAGATGTAGCTAAACACCCGTGGAATATAGGGAGAGAAGCATGTAGGATTCATTGACGGATCAATCGATTGATCGATCGATCGACTGACCGACTGACTGACTGACTGATTGATTGATGAACCCCACTGCTAACTAGTAACCATGTTCCAAATCGAGTCCTCACCGTGCTTTCGGCTGCTAGGCTTAACAGCATCTGGGTACTCGACTGAGAAAAGTTAATACATGGAAAACATGCTAAACCGTATGGGGTGAGATGGCTCAGTGGATAGAGCGCGAATTTACTGAGCGGAAGGTCAGTAATCCGACTTCCCCTGTCTAGGCTTGGGCAATATGGCAGTAACCCACTCCTCTTGCTTCCTTCGAGCAGCATCAAAAAGGTGCGATTGCTGAACGACAATGATATCGGGTTCATTTTTTTGGATACTCTTATGCATTGTTCTCGCAAAGATTCGTAGAATACCTTCCGCAATATAATAGAGAACATGCAAGTACAAATTAACCGAAGAATGAAATCTATCACTGGCTTTTCTAGTGTACAAATGGGGTGCGGGATATCCGTTTCAAGAAAACCCTTGTTTACCTTGTGTAGCGCATTGGTTGCAGGGAAACTATAGATAATATTGGTGACTGTGCAGAAGTGAAATGCTAAGAGGAATTAATCACCCAGATCAAAGTGGACCGATAAATAGCGTAAGAGGGGAAGTGTCTGTACGCTTTGCGCATTTCTACTCTGTGGTGCGGCTTCGGTTACCAGCAAACTAACGCAGCTTTCTCGAATACACTTGCGACAGAACATGCGCCAAACTTTCTTCCACAGTACTGGTCCTCAGTGATGACATCACGGATTTATTTTCCGGCGGTGACTCCTGACAACTTACTAATTGGCGAGATTGTATATCCATTAAAAACCAGCACCGAAAGGGTGCTACAGCTGAACGATTATTTATTATTATTATTATTATTATTATTATTATTATTATTATTATATTGCTCGCTCCGAAGCGATCGAAGACAAACAGCCTTCTATTGTCTTCGGCGCACAATGACTAGGCTTCACAACCGTGCAACAGCACCACACCGGCATGTCATGCTCCGAAGCGATCGAAGACAAACAGCCTTCTATTGTCTTCGGCGCACAATGACTAGGCTTCACAACCGTGCAACAGCACTGAGCACACCGGCACACCAAGTCGATTCCAGCCTGGGAATGCGGCTAATTTGAGGGAAGTCAGAAAGGGTATCAGAGATCCTAGCTTTCACACGGTGAGCAATAATGTCAACCGGCGTAAAGCAGCTACCAAAATAGCTGATTCTGCGGGCATAGCCAGGTTTGACACGTTTCATCTTTAATAGCACTTCCCACTTTGAAGGTTCGAAGCCTTGAGCAAATAAAAAGGTAAAACTATTCGGATCGTTTTGTTTGTTTCACATCCGGCTGCAAGTGCAACCATCTGCACTCTCTAGGTCATTTCCAGGAGGAGGTTCTATGCCGGAGACGGATGTCATGATGGGCGCTTCCTCAACAGTTGACGTGACTGCAAATTTGGAAAAGAAAGTCTTATTATTTGCTTTTTACTGTTTTTACTGTTTACCTTTTTTTACTATCGTTCTACTACTTTTCACTATTTTACAATTTACTTTGATGATGGAGGAATGGTAACAATCGTAGCCTTCCACATGCCTAGTGACATTGAAGTATAAGGATTGGAGAAATTTGATGAAAATATCCAAAACCTCTGAAGAAAAAATTGATAAAAAGTAGCACCACAGCCTGAGCCAAACACCGTTTTATACCTAAAAGTTTTAGCGGCATTCGAGAAACACTTTGGTCCTTCATACTGCTATCGCAGCGGGTAACACGAATGTACCCTCAGAGCAGCCCTTATTACGATTACTGACAGAACAGGGTTGACTGTCGTTTGACTTGCCGTTATTCTTTGGGCATCGTGACGCCCAAATTATGGCGAGTGGGACTCATTGGCAATAGAAATTTTAGGCCAAGTCTAGATAGGAGCTATAAGTTGGGAGCCATGGGTTTTCAGGTCATTCAGGGTTAAGGTCTATTTAAAGATGTAGCTAAACACCCGTGGAATATAGGGAGAGAAGCATGTAGGATTCATTGACGGATCAATCGATTGATCGATCGATCGACTGACCGACTGACTGACTGACTGATTGATTGATGAACCCCACTGCTAACTAGTAACCATGTTCCAAATCGAGTCCTCACCGTGCTTTCGGCTGCTAGGCTTAACAGCATCTGGGTACTCGACTGAGAAAAGTTAATACATGGAAAACATGCTAAACCGTATGGGGTGAGATGGCTCAGTGGATAGAGCGCGAATTTACTGAGCGGAAGGTCAGTAATCCGACTTCCCCTGTCTAGGCTTGGGCAATATGGCAGTAACCCACTCCTCTTGCTTCCTTCGAGCAGCATCAAAAAGGTGCGATTGCTGAACGACAATGATATCGGGTTCATTTTTTTGGATACCCTTATGCATTGTTCTCGCAAAGATTCGTAGAATACCTTCCGCAATATAATAGAGAACATGCAAGTACAAATTAACCGAAGAATGAAATCTATCACTGGCTTTTCTAGTGTACAAATGGGGTGCGGGATATCCGTTTCAAGAAAACCCTTGTTTACCTTGTGTAGCGCATTGGTTGCAGGGAAACTATAGATAATATTGGTGACTGTGCAGAAGTGAAATGCTAAGAGGAATTAATCACCCAGATCAAAGTGGACCGATAAATAGCGTAAGAGGGGAAGTGTCTGTACGCTTTGCGCATTTCTACTCTGTGGTGCGGCTTCGGTTACCAGCAAACTAACGCAGCTTTCTCGAATACACTTGCGACAGAACATGCGCCAAACTTTCTTCCACAGTACTGGTCCTCAGTGATGACATCACGGATTTATTTTCCGGCGGTGACTCCTGACAACTTACTAATTGGCGAGATTGTATATCCATTAAAAACCATATGGTTCCTTTCGGTAAATATGCCCATTTCCATGGTAATTGGGTTTTCAGGAAAGACTCAACTGATTCGTTTGTTTATAATTTCTTCAACTATGCCCATTTCCATGGTAATTGGGTTTTCAGGAAAGACTCAACTGAATCCCTCGTTTATAATATTCTTCAACTTTATGTGCTGCGACATCGCCAATATGGTACCAAAGGAAAAATGAAGCGGCCTTTTTGCAGCACATTCAGTTTAAGAATGTAATAAACGATTGATTTAATCAAGTCACCTGTGAAGACTCAGTTGATATGCAAATGATTGGTTGTTGACCAGGTGGCTGTTAGTCTGTTCGCGAGCTTGGCAACTGGCTTTCAAAGGTTTCGTCATCAAAGGAGAAGACGTCATCAGTGCGCAGTGAAGAAGGACGAAACCGGACATGAGCTGTTGAAGAGTTTCCAGCGACCTTGTGGATATTGGTTTCCCTCATGGAAAAATATGGCTCAATGTTTTGGCCTTCAAGAAAAAAGCCCACACACTGAGGATTTGGCCATTTTTAGAAGTGCACATCCTTCGGGATTAGTAACGGATCCTTCCGATTTCAGCATTGTCCGTTTTTAAAGCCCTTTTTCCACTCCGGAACCGGCGCTAAAGTTTCTTTCATTTAACCGTGGTAAATTAGGATAGCTAATAACTGGAGGCGGTCCAATCAGTTGGAGAACTCTTGGAACCGGTTGAGAAGACATCGATTTCGGAGAAATTTGGGAAATAATAAATATATCAACTGTTTCCCAAACTTTTCCAAAAACCAGAGGTGGCCTTCGTCCACTCTCTCCCAATAGACATGTTGTTTAAAACATGAATTATCAAACGCCAGTTACAAAAAAATAATTTTACCACCAATTCTGTGCAAAGAATCGATATGGAGAAGTTTAACGAGTAAAGTGGTTCACTAAGAGGGCTCAGAAATAACTGGAAGACCAGCTGAAACATCTGATTCAATTCCACAATGATCGGATCCACGGAGAATCCGGAAAAAACCTTTCTCTCCCCAAGATGGATTCCATGAATTCGCCGCCAACCAATATGGCGTCCCATCTTTTTCTACACCCCAACCGAGAAGACGGATCGCGTGTCCACCCAAAAGTTCCCCGGTTGTGTGTTTATAAACCCCTCCAGCATAATTCGCGAAATCCGCATAGACGTTCATAGCCGCCTCAACAGGACCACGCATCCAAATCTCCTTTTGGATTGTTATGGCGCTTCGGTAAAGGTTGTACGAAGTTGAAGCTGTAAAGGAGAGCGAATTCCGCGCATCACTGGAATGCTTCAGTAATGGACAAAATTAGCACTCTTTCTTCTTCTTCTTCTTCACAATTAGGGTTACAACATGATGAACCTCTTTAAATGTTCCTTTATATATCACAAGGTGTAGAGTAATTATAATGCTTGAAAAGACTACTATTGGTCGTTTCTTTCTTTGGACTTATCGGGCAAAACTATCGTCTAAGTCACTATTATTCTTCGTACCTGAAACCGGATTTTGATATATGCATACCCGAACACCAACTTTCAATTGAAGGTAAGGAAAGGACACAGCTGAATCAGTAGTCTGTTATGCTCTCTTCCAGATAGTCGATCAGGTGTGCAATAAGACATGATTAAGGAACTGGGCCAACTTGATGAGCTTCCAAAAGGCTAACCAGGTAGTGGGCGGTTTAAGTGTTTTTACTTGCCCCATAAGTAGCGTCATACCGAGGGGAACACTTCACTTTGTTGAAATGCAAGGTGGTCATTTTGCAGCACATCCATTTGCAAAATAATATAATCGACTGAGTCAGCTGAAGCTCCTACGAACACCATTTTAACCCCTGCATTCGTTACTGCGTTCGTAATTTTTTAAACCATATTCTGAATGTGAAAAATGTTGCAATTCATACTTTAGTCGGATATGAACAATACCACACTCGAAAGTTCTTTCAGAACTCGACGACTTCCCTTTAGGATAACTAGTTCCCTGGCAGAAAAAACCGCAAATGCCATATACCTAGTCTGAGGAAACCTCCAACAAGGAACGACTGACTACCACTGACACTCATGGCAAAGATAAAAACATCGCCATAAAAATAATGTAGAATGCCCTGCCAAACTAGCCAAGTTCCTCGAGTGAATTTTAGCCCATAATGGGGTTGTGATATCCCGTTCACAGACTCAAAGCTAGGGGCTTGTAGACATAATACTGCACAGAATGATCCAATTACTCAAAAGGGGAACAACTCACACCAATCCCTTGACATCTACCGATCAAATATAGTTGCTCATCTATCACTGTGATTGACCGACAACCTAGCCTTTTTACAATTTTCTTTTAACCTGGCAATTATATCGACCAAAGCGATTCCAAAAGTTATTATTTTTCAAAACGCTTTTTATGTGGTTGGTTGGTCCCTAATAAGGAACCACCTGCCAGACCAGCGAATACGGTAACACAAACGGCATATACGAAGTCAGATTTATTACTGTGGCCAAGTCTGTGGATGTGACGTTAGCCCTATGCCACCGAATCAATACTGGCTAGTGGCTGAAACAGATTTCTGCAGGTTCAACCACACTCTCTCCCGTCTACCTCGGGTTTTCCCACCTCATCAAATCTAGCTCTGCACAAATCGTCTGTGCCTCTTTTACTGTACATGGGCACCCATCCGCTTGGCAAACATCAGCCACCAAATCGGATCCGACTGTCAGCCACTCACATACATGTACATACTAAATTTACGCAACATTAAGCTTACTCGTGGAATCAAGATGGTGTAGAATGCGAGAAGGTTTTCTTTATTGCATCCGTCAAAAAAGAAACGAAATAAAAAAATTTTCAACTGTCCAATTATGTCTTCACTAAGCCCGATGTTGGTATTATTGTGAAATTTTGCTCTTGTCTGTGCCCACCCAGAGAACATTTTATTCCTTCATTTCATTCACAATCTCAGTGTGGTCCAATCAAGGATTGGGTATGCAAGGTCATTTTTCGTTGGGGCTAATGTTCATTAAGCTGACTTCAAGCGTATCCTTTGGGGAACACTCGGTCAACCTGACTCACTTATACTTCTCAATCATTAGAACCTTGGTGGTTGACAGAAAATTGATCACCTGTTTATCATAGCCAACGGGGCCTCCAAGATCCTACCCAGAAAAGTACGACATCAACGTCTACTTCACCTTGGAATCTCCGTCCTCAAGGATCTCACAAAAATCATTCAGTGTGATAATTTACTCTTGCATACTCCTTGTGGGACTGACCATGAAAATTCTTCATTGCTTGAGGATCCGTCAGCTAGAGGGTTATTTGTTTACGAGCCTAAGAAAAAGAAGGCGAATCAACAACATTTGCAATTTGAAAGATGAAATTTCGGAGGTTTTGTTGGTTTTTACACATTGGTATGTAGTTCAGCTATGCGTTGTGGACATTCAGTTTACTTGGATGGCCAGTTTTTGTCTGTTATCTGAAACACCAAGTTTGAGGCATGGCATATTACGGCTTGAAGTCCATACTTTCCTCCCCCGCTGACCGTATGTGAGCTTGTAAATGCAATAAAAGAAATATATGCAGGTAAACTGTGCTCACAACTCAAGCTTACCATGAATTTTGTCGTCTTCATATTTAATAGCATATCCTTTTTGACACTCGGATACGCATTGTGGGGTTGAGTACAGCTTTTCCGGACAAGGTGCGTATTCAGGTCCTTTTGGTCCGTGGTGGTGACACGGTGGGAAAGGGTAGGGCAAGCACGTATGACTGTCTTTGTACTCTCCACCTGTCACAATACCATTATCCCTCCAGTAGTCCCAGGCCATTCCGCCCCAGCCTCCGAGGCAACCAAATCCGCACGTGGTACAACAGGCAAGCAGATCGGTTGCGCTTAGTTGCATGTTTACCAGTGTCTGATTTGAATGGATACAAACACGGTCACTCATTGCGGTGACAGCCCCAAAGGCCTGAAATCAGGGAGAGAAATGGAACACTGCGTGTTACTCGGTCTTGTTCACACACAAATCGTAAATGGACATAGTATTGCCATGTAAGCTAGTAAAACTGGGGTTACTATGATAAAAGATCGTTACTTAGTCCACTTACCCACGCACTTAAAACACTGATTCAAACACTGATTCACCGATCAGACTCAAACAAGAGTGGCGAAAAATACCCGTGCCACAAGCACACTTACAAATTTCACGTGTGATACTGCAAGGAGACTTGACTAAACCATACGAGTACGTTTTACTTCGGGTTACCTAATGCTGAGACTGAAGTTTATGTGTACCACTGAGTGCTGTCTCAATTTGTGTGTTTGCTTTTCCTGTGACCAGATAGATCAGCTACGCCCACGAAAGGCACTAAAAGATGGGGAACGTCCATTTTGTTTTACATATTTTTGCGTCTTTTTTGCGTATAGTATCTAGAACTGCGCCTGATTGTCATCAGATTGTACCAAGAGTACTCCCATGACGAACAGTCCCGAGGCTTATCTACCAAACAACCGGATCAATCGATTTTTATCAAAGGTGCTTTGAAGTTACGGTTTGGAAATTTGTTTGCTCATGGGATGAGCTTAACGTTCGAAAGCCAAAACAAAACAAAGTATAATCACAATGAATGAGGTTCTGTCAATTCCACAGCATTAAGTGACACCATTTTTAAATTCGGACATTGGGAAAACGCCATACAATGAAGAAAGAACATCACTGTCTGTTCTTTACCGTGGCCTACAAACCAGTAGACAGGCGTGAATTATTCCTGCTCTCTTGCAAATTGGTCTCTGCTGGGCGAAACCTCACAGTGGATTACAGCTAAAGCGTAAATCTCTGGTGGTGTCCTCAGGATTGTTTTATAATGATTTTCGAGGAAAATTCCTAGTTGTTTGACAAATGACCATATCCTGATGTTCGGCATATGAGTGAAACAAATGTAGAATTCGATTCATTTGTTGTTTTTCTACCCTTGACTGGGAAGTAAGTCCTTGTATCTGAAATAACTGCGGTTCGGTCCATCCTCTTTATTTCATGGCTTGGTAGTTCACATCTCCAGTGATGCATAATGTACTCTTTGGTGCATATGGTGCATAATTAACGCTGTCGCAGGAGATACTCACGGCTTTTTCAGATAGTGTCACTCGAACGCTTAAGATGAACAAATGAATTCCGTTTCAGCAGTCTGCGGGCGAGCTGGTTAGCGGAAGCCGAACCTGAGCGATTTTCACTGGTCGGATGTCTGCGAATTTCAGATGCTAGAGTGCTTCTGATATAGCTGTTAAACTAATCAAAGGGCCCACTAAAAGTAACCGAATACAACTCTAGCGATGCTCCTACTAAGCGATGCAGAAAATGGAATCGGCTGCAGCCTGAGTTTCAAAGAAACACGTGGCAGGTAAGAAACTGTTTCCTGAAATGGGTGTTTGTTTGTGAAAGATGCGGCCGCCATAGACTTTGTCATACATTTTGTAAAACATTATCGAAATTTCGTTCACCTAGTGTTTGGAAGAGTGCCTACCAGTGTACAATCAAATGCTGGCTTTATCTCGAGTGAGTGCGCTGGATACGCAATAAGACTGTAAAGCTGTGACGAAGACAAACCAGCGCGATACAGATATATTGTCAGCCTTCCGCATCACAATTCTGTCAAGTTCAAATGGATGTTGCTCCCTGTGTACTACAGACCACAAATTCTAGTTACTTCTGGGTAAGTAAAGACCGCTTATATGGTAGAATAGTTAATCAGCCCTGTAGTAATGTTATACCTTTCTAACGTGACATATGTTTATCCAATATGCACCACTGGTGTTGTGATGTCCCCTCTTGAGAGGTAGATTGGTCAATGTCGGAATGAAAACTTTCTCCACTTCACCCCCTTTTGTATACAGAAACGGTCAGCTCATCTACAGTGAACACATGTGCCTGGGATTGTGCGTGTTTCTGCTTTCTTCTAGCCCTTAACTTACCCAACAGGAGCCACAACGAGACTGATCTCGAATCTGGTTAATGGTTTTGCATTCCGGCCAGTGTTCTCGAGCGTCGAACTCAAGCGGGAGCTCCAAAGTGATATCTTCGTGGCTGATGGTTGGCCGACGAAATTCCTTCAATTTTCTATCCTCCCTCATCGTGCCCAAGACTGAGCGAATTTCCTCCAGAGTCTTGAAGCGTTCAGACTTGGCGGCCTTCCATGTAGCCCCCACCTAAAAATTAATGTGCCGTGGATCAGAAAGGGTACATGTTTCGAAGAGTTGGGTTATAAAATGCTTACTATGACTCCAGATTTTCCACAGTGGGATAACATGGACCTCCAGAGGCACAGATCGTTAGGATTACGTCCGAGTCAAGCTTTACGGAGGTTCACCGGAACGGAAACAAGGGTACTACACAACGCCGTTGCAGATAAGCAGTCATGATTATTTCGTTTGATCTGGACAGTTCTTGCTCATTTGTAAGGTGAAAAACAGAAACTTATATCCTGCACATTGAAGGACAATCTAATCCCCCCAATAAAGAAAGCAGTTAATGTTAGCCTTTGAAAGTCTACTTCCATGGCTTCGAACTAGTAATAGAGCCAAAATGTCCATCGGGGCCCATCATTTTCCAAATTTCCTCTGGAGACTATCGGATCAGTTTTTTTATATAAAAAAACAGGGTCAAGTTAGCCGTACAGCAGCTCAGAAGGGATCCAAAAAGATACCTCCATAAAGGGATACCATCATTGAGAATCCAATAAAAACTAGAGAAAGTCACTGGGCTTAACTTGGAGCACTATTCCTAGGCAAGTGTGATCTATCCACAATCAAACGGAATTTTACTCCGACATCCCTCGTGTGAATACTTCTGCGCTACAATAATTCACACTAAAATATGGAATGTGAAAAATGAGGGATGTGGTCTTTTTTCTCAATGAGTGTTCTGTAAAGGATGATCCGTAAGAGTTCATGTAGCAGAGTAAATGCACAAAATATAACAGTTAATGACTGCTCTGCATTATGCTGCGAAGTTACACGTTAAAGAATCACGAAAATAACAGCCCTCATACCATACGAATGTGTACCAGTAGGCCACACCAATCCTCGTGTAATCCAATCACGTTGGTCTGCTATGGGGAGTTCTTAGCGAAGTAATCGAAATGCATGCAGTATGCACCACGTCAGCTTGAGGAAACAGATCAAGGGGAGTTCTAATTGCATACTTTCTTAGTTCGAAACGGTTCGTTGAGACGGTTTTACTACCTAAGGGCTTGGTAATTGTAGATTATTTTCCGAAAAGCAGAACCAAATGATAAGTTGTTTCAATTACAAATCTGCCGCTCATTCTAGTGTTGCTGCATTCAGCTACTAATTGGTAGGTTGTTGGCTCCAATTTGCTTGGATGCCCGTGAAATGCCCATACTGATGATTCTCAATAAGGATGAACTAGTTGCACAGCGTTTCTGGGCTTTACAGTATAGACCGACTTCACTCGAAAAATGACTGCTGGATTCAGTGAGTTTGGAGCTTTTCTGAAACTTAGGCATCGTAAAAATAAGCAGTCATTCTTACCCACACCGTTTCCATAAGTGGCTTGTCTACTATAACGTTAGTAGAGGTTTTTGAAGGTAGCTTTGATAAAGCAAACTGTAAACCAGTTGGAGGTTAGATAACGCCGCTTAGGTTGGAGTGAGTTAAACAAGACGTCATTATCTTGCTCTTTGCAGTGAAACGTACCTTAGCTAACTCGATTGGACCTTTCGTTTATAATGCTTTTCACCCTAATAAGATTCACAAGGGACGTCTCATTTCCACCTGGAATGATATTCAAGACACCACAGCATATTTCTGAGTATGGCACTTCTACACTAAGCATGCTGGAAAGTCTTAGGCGGCTCGCCAATAGTGCTGGTGTTTCGTTGACTGATTGCTCGAATTCCTACCGATCTTATTCTGTATTTTAACACCAACTTGGACGACAGCTTCAGTTCAGTCTGCAGGTACTATTAACTCGAAGTCATGAAGTGACAAGACCACACTGAGTGAAATTCAAGGACCAGGTACAGCTTGTGTGCCTCAAAACGAGCAAAACCGACAGTGGGCTTTCCAAAGGTAAGTTGTGGTTTTGAACGCAGTTATTTCAAACAATTTGCGGTTTTTTGACAGTTTTTACAGCAAACAAAATACGAATACAAAAATAAACACTGATACTGTACCATTTCAGATGAAGAACTGTACTATAATAAGTTCATCGCAGTTCTTTGGCGAAATACGACACTTTTCAGGCACTATCAATGAAAGTTTGTGGAACTCCAGTGGAGGAGACATCCAACTTTCGAAACAGCTCGGTCACTGAGGAGTCCTTCCGAACAGTGAAAAGCTTGATACCTTCGCTTTCTACCTCCACGCATAACTACCGGTTTTCTGTAATACCTTTCTGAAAAGAAGCATGCTAGTTCCGGAATACTTTTGCTCTCAAAAATGCGAAAGCTTTTGTTTTGACCGAGTTCGAAGGGGTGTTGTCTTGAAAGAACCGTAGTGCCCCCGAACGAAGCTTTAGGCCCAGTCGTCATCAGCATTGAGTTTTTCGTCCGATTCAGAAAACTGTGAAGAGCATTCGCAGCAATTTTAGCTGTAAACAACTTTGTGCTACAATGAACCATTGTTTTGCTGTCATTGAGGTCATTGTGTCAATATTCATTGTATCTCTAAGGCTATGAGAAGCATTTCAGCCTTTTTGAATAACGATGACTTGATTCATTTAAATAGCGGAAGGGAGAAAGTGATGTTGCAGTGGATATCCTCTTGCATACTGACTTGATAATGTGTTTTTGCTATTTCATGCTACCTGCAAAATATGAAGCATTTTGATTTGTTCCACGACTTTTATTAGGTAACTCTTCTGGAATAAGACGCGAATTGTTGGTTTATTTTAGGCCTTTCCGCACAAAAAAAAGAATAAATTTAACTTTACGTATGAGTTGCCGCATGACAATGAAGGCTGTAACGTGAGTCGTAACTTTGAACTTTGGTAAGGTATTAATTTGATTATCCTGTTGGGCGATACTTTACACATGGAACAATGAGTACAAGACTGGCAGGTGAGTTGAATCCAGTACATGAGTCGGTGTGTCAAAGGATGGGCTGAGGACCGGTGACAGGTAAACCCATCAACGTATTCGTCCAGTCTAACAACAAAATATCCATTCCATGTAGTGCGTGTGAAAGCTGATCGAATACCAGAGGTTGGGCCGACATACTATCAGTGTTTCAGTGTACTATAAGGGGACAGATGGAGACACCGCCTTGAAAATATGCAGTTGCAGGCTATGTTTTCTTCACACCCTTTTGTTGAATCCTCCAAAAGCTACTCTAGACTCCACAACAAAGAATTTCACAAAAAGGTTAACGGTCAAGTCCTCAGACAATGTGCTTCAGAAGCATCAGAAGTCTGCAGAGCGGTTTTGGGGAAACTATCTAGTACATGTTGAAGTTTAACGAAAGTCTTCGCAGCGTTGATGCCCCGGACAAACTGCGCATCAACAGTTGCAACCTTCCAAGCTAGATGCTGCAGTTCATCACCGTGTTTCAGATAAACACTCAAACCGATAAGATTCAAATATTTACTTTCCGATAGGACTTCTAAAACTTACAAGCAAATTCGGTTGTATCGGAGTATGTATAACTAAGGTGTAACACTTGATGGGTTAGGCTGTCCGTCCTTGAACATTCGTGCCGGAGCTAAAGCTGTTGCGAGGTCGTTACATAAATAACACGGTTCCAAACTCTGCCCCGACTGTTTTTTCTGATGTGTCCGCAATAGTACAATGGATTTGTGTCTCATCCGATTGAGTTGCATGTTAAATCAAACCAATCGGCAGTTAGATCTACGGTACTCCATGTCTGACTTTGCTAACCCTTAGAAGAGTTGCTAAGCGCTAATTCTATAAAATTCACCGGGAGTCAATGAAGTAGGCTGCCCTCATATCATTGTGGTCTTAACCAAGTGGCATTATTTAGAAATCGTTTGATTCAATAGTGTTTGAAATTCTTGCATTTTTTCTCCTTTTTACAATATGCGATGCCCCAACAATCAATAAGAAAGTGGTCCATCGGTTTGGAATGGCTTATTGATATACTGTCAATCCTCAAAACGTAAGACACTAGGGATCCGGTTTCTGTCTCTCTCATGAGAAAAGCAAACTCCATGTTGTGGGCGGTTGTGCGAATTGTGAAACTTGACTGGGAGGTGCTTACAGGCTCTTAATGGAATAATTGTCTGAATCCTGAGTATGGTCCATCAACCATGATTAGGTCTGATTATCCCTCGATTACGATGACCCTATGAAAAGATCGAATCCGGAATGAGAAGGGAATACCACCGGTTGCCAACAGACGGTAAACATAACCAATGAAAACTATGGATTCCTTAAAGGTTTATGGTAGCACGGTGCTGCAAAATACTTACCTGACTGTTCACGTAGTCAATCAATTCATCCGACAAGGCTTCGTGCTTTGGTTTCCCGTTAGAGCCATCAAGGAGGATGGCAACAGCAAATAAGACTGTCGTCGCCCTCATGCTCAAACTCGACTACAAAATACTAGCCACACAGTCATAGTTTGGTTAAATAGAGCTGCGGAAAAAACACGGTTGTGCGGGTTGGTGTAGACGCAGCGAGCAAAGTCCAGGATGTCAGCTAGTTTGTGTACTTTGAGAAAACACATCTGTGGCTGCTTGCATCGGTTTATCCACATGTAGGTCGTTTAAATAACTTGAAAATTAAGCGCCACGTGTTGAACATTACATAGACAATTGCCAAGTTCGTTCAAATTCCATGCCACTGAAACCAGGAAAAGATGCTACCCACTGGCTAACTATGTCGTCTGGTGGGACGTACGGAGGTCAGAGTCTGTCATTTTAAAATTGATGTTTCGAAATGAAATCATATATTTGCTAACGGTTGAACGAACTGTGGCTCGTTGAATATGCTGGTCAAGCGCTCAGTAAGGTCAAAGTCTAAGTGGTATTCCACCAATCGTTAAATATACAAATAATTGTTTGCTCAGTATGGGACGTTATTAAGGACACTTGTTATTATTGGGTGACTTCCCCCGTTTTCCAAAAAAGTCCCTAGGATATCCTAATTTAGTTCGACCGTACCCACTCTCTCAGATTTAACAAGAAGACATTCAAGACCATTTGGAACTCCACGGACTTGTAGTAAAAACTTTGCGCTACTCAAGCTGAATTCGAAAGCATCTAAATAGCGTGAAATTTGAGGCTATTTATGTTCTACGTAAACCTTCCGCATAAGGAGAAATAGTAACTACGCTGCTCCAGCTTACTTACGTAACACTTTTGCCAAGCTATTCTGGATAGCTTTCACTGACACCTGTTAGATCCGTCTATGAGACTCGTTTAAATTAGACGAAAAGAAAATTATGTGCATTACTGGGGAATTGAGCACTTCATTTTGATTACTGGACCGCGTGACAGAGCGGCGGGAACACTGAAAAGGCCTAACGTTGTGGCAAGAAATCACTGTGTATCTGATGACTCCCTCTTCCCCTGTTTTGCCGGTGGTTTCTAGGATCGTCATTGTTGAGAATAGGCAACAGCAAATATCAGTTTTCGGCCCTACACCTATGTAGCGCATCTATAGGCAGAGAATGAGGTTAACAAACAGCGATACATGTCATCAACGTGTATTTATATTAGGAGAACCAGCTCCGGACGTAACCGGACTACACAACTGCCAAGTGAATAACCGTTCTCGTTGGGACAGGTCTAACTGATTGTTCTTCGATTGTCCTTGACAGGTGGGTTCTATTTTTAGCATTATTTTTGGCCGCATAGAACTTTCCACGTGAGCGTTATAAGGAACCCGTTTTCGGCTGCACACGACACACCTGTACTCGCCAGTGTTCGATAGATTAGCTGATTCTCACGTTCTTTGTCTTCCTGGTTTGGCTAAACTTATCGGGCTATCAAGCGTCTAGGCAGACCCTGGTTCATGGTATCAAGAAGGCATTAGGAAAACTGTGGTCCACAACAGTTAAATTGACTAATTATATATGATGGGAATTGTGCTTTATCCCCACTAAATGAGGACCGAACAGACTGCCTTTTTTGAGAAAGAACTGATGCCTTATTTTGTCCAGATGAACGTCACGTCGGTGGTCAGTGGTTCGTGCCTCGAACGGCCTAGTATTTGTTCATGATATACAAGATTAAAATCCCTCCGCGTATTCTTTAGGTGGCTATTACTAGATAAGTCTCATTAAAACTTTAAAATCTGTCCATACTACCATCAAAATGTAGTCACTATAGGTAGGTGGGACAATGGTGTTTACTTTATCACACGGGTTAGGCAAGCTCAAGCTGGCTTATTCTTCGCATCGCCTATGTGATTTACAATACTGCGCTTTTGCTTTGAATGAAAATTGGAAGTTAGAATGGGAACAAAGATGGAACTCAATGGGTTGGTGGAGACTAAAACCGGAGAGCGTGATAACTTATTGTAGACTGAACAGTTAAGGGAGCAAGCTAAAAAAATACTGCAAGCTTTGCCTTATCAAAAAGTGTATCCAAGTGCTGATGAGTTTTTACAAACTCTTTACTCAGTTAGAAGGCATTTGCTACTCTTGCTAGGTCACACGATCAAAGAGTTGATTATTTGAGGCTCCATCACTAGTTGATCAAACCTCGCTCGTTCTCAACCTGAAGAAGGCTTCTCAGATATTATTAGGCGTGGTAGTAGCTCTCTCAACATTCCGATAGACGTCCAGGGTACTCTTCGGTTTTCAGCAGAGCTTTCGTCGAACGGTTATACACTGTCACACTAGGAGTTAATTCACTGCGTTTGGTCAACTTCTTATGACATTTCGCAAGATTCCGCTCTTTTACTTATGGTAGTTGCTACTGAAGGCATAGCTTGATTATGTAAAATTTCGCATTTCAGCCTAATGCGTCTGCTCCCGGAGACCACGGTCGTTCACGAAATCGTCCTTACCAACGAAATTTTTCCTGTCGCTGAAAGGTCAAAGTTGTTTACTCTAGCTAGATAGTGTGACGAAGAGTAGTCACAGTAGCGTCAAATCCCTATTGGGGAAAACAACTGCCAGAAAATTCGAGACCCCACTTTGAAGGCCATGAATCGACTGCCTCCATTAACTCATTCATATAATGTTGGATTTATCTTCGAAAGATGTGAATCATTTGACTGAATTGCTAATGTCACTATCATACGATGGCCACTAGAATATGCGCCTTGAACCTAGTTTAGGTAGTCGTAAACCTGTTCTAGGTGTATGGATTATCCTTTGTGATATGGATACGACCGTTTCCTTAGTTCCTGCTCAGATAAATAGGTTGATCCTGACCAACTTTGCACCCTGGTAACCTAAAAAACGACTGCGACACTTTGGCCTATCCACCCGATTGTAGAGGAGACAAATACATAATACACAATAAAAGTTTTACGGTAATGTTGACAGTTGTTTTGCTTGGTGTGGTTAGCGTGCCTTCGTAACTCAATAAGCCGATTAATGAGAAACTTGATTCCTCGCACATGTAGTTCACATTGCCGCTGTTTTGGTAGTGCATCGTCAGTAGTGAAGGTTCAGTTACCTGCAGAAAAGCATTATGATATTGCTTGGCTGGTATGTATGCCCGAGCTCAGTGCATAATGCAAAGGACAGTACCACTTGATACACGGCTACACCTTACCACATCACTGAAAGGTGTTCATCGTATTTAGATTAAGTGATTGACAGTAGTTCAATTTATTTTGTTCGCTTTCTACAATATGCACAATGCTACCAGCAGTTGACGTAGGTTTAAAATTGCATCACGATGTGTCGACCAAAGTGGCTGATGGCCAGGTGGGGTCTCCCTCGCAAAACAGTTGCCCAGTGGCACTCCGTTACCACAAAGCATGGCACTGATAAAGATATCCTCGTCAACGAATTAAAAAGTGGAGGTAAGCTAACAAAATGAAATCAGTAAAGTGTCACAGTATTACCTGATGAGCCCCAGGAAGGGCGAAACTGGTCGTGGGCTGTCGAAAAGTTTTTCAGCAACTTTATGAGTAGTTTCCTTCATGAAAAATATACTGTGATATCTCGAATATCGTATTAACTGAATCATGAGGCGGTCTGTGTGCAGCACATTCAGTTGTGGAATATCATAAACGAGAGATTCAGTTGAGTCTCTCATGAAAACCAAATTGATTTGCAAATTATTGTATTTCTCGCAAGCTAAGGGTACTCTAACCTGGTTGTGGTAGGAGAATATTTATCTGACAATGTTAATTTTATTAAGATCATTTGTGTTTCCTAATGAAAACCATATCCTTCGTTGGAAGCCCGAACATCATTGGTCCCATTTTGAACGTCAGAAGGGTGGATAATAGTGGGAAGTTTAGTGTACTGTGCCGTAAATCGATGAATATATCTGTCACAGACCGTGAGTCCGCGTCCACGCATTTTTCAGTTAACGAGTGTACGTGAAAGTGAACCCGGGTGCCTGAAGCCTAGACACCAACTACCATTGATTTATTCCACTGGTAGAGCGTGCCAAAGTAACCAAACTACTCGGGAAAAAATGATGTCGCTCGTCGTTTAAGTGATCGAAATGCATTAACCCCATTCGTCTGATGTGCATACAGAGTCTGCTCGTCCCTAATTGCACAATGTTCCATATTCAATAGGTGGCTTTCAAACGGCGCAAGCTAAATCGTTCCTTTGTCTATATGTTTAAGACGGTTTTCAGGGCCTAGCAAAAGTGGTCATTCGGATATACGAGCTGGTAACATTGGGATGCACACGGGTTTATAGCAGTCATGTTATATATGAAATAGCACAACAATCAAACACAGATAAGGACGTAGATATTTTTTGCTGCGCTGCACCTTCTAGTGTAAATGGCTGGTATCTAAAACGAAATTGCATATCCAAAATGGTCAAATGGCTAGGCGAGTGCGCATGTTTGCACAACTACGGTCAGTCTGCGCGTAACCAAATGGGATGTTGAAGTAGACCCAGGGTAACACGACTGGCTAATAAGCATTCAGAAGTCGCTTGTGAACCATTATAAACCAGCATATCATGGTTGTACGGTGGGCACAGTCACAAATTTCCGTATTCTCTCATTATGACATCTTTTGGTAGACCGTCACCCTCACCTTCCGACGTCTATGGAATTCTACAAAGTAGTGACAGTTCAAACGCCCTTTTTCTAGGGTTTCCCTTGTTATATCCTGCCGGGCACCAGTTGGTGCTCCGAGAATCTCCTCATCTGGTGCATCAGATGTTTATTTCGAAGGATGCTGGAGGGCTGCAACACCCGTCTTATCGATATTTGGATAAATTGGTGTGTATGGACCTCCCTCAAGGGCACTGCCAAACATCAGGAAGCCAATGAGTGACACCGAGTGACAATGAGTAAGTCTTGGTAATGAAGGTGGATGGATTGAACAGTTCCGTCAAACTGAACATTGTTTAGATGCCCTATTCTGATTACGATAATTATGTCCCAAGCGACGAAACATACACACGGATATTTTACGAATTAGCGAGTCCGGAGACCTGTTCACGCGC